CGTGTAGGACCCTTCCGAGAGTCCGGCCAATAGCGTAGTTGAACAGAGTGGACGATAGGATCCAACCTTGTCGAACGCCAGACCGAATACCTGACGGTTGGGAAAGATTATTATGGACCAGAACTCCCGCAGTGGTGGAGCGTCAACAGGACTTGATCGTGGCAGTGATTTTTGGCGGTACACCATCTAGTGCCATTTTCCGCCACAGGGACTCACAGTGGACGGAATCAACCGCGGCAGCAGTCAAAAAAACAAACGGCCATCCATTGCTGGCAGCTATGGCGGAATTCGATAATGCTCCTCAGTGTGAGTACCTGGTCCGCACATCCACGTCCGGCACGAAATCCGGCTTGGTTGGACCTCGTCCTAGAGCCGCACACAGCCTAGAATCGCCTGAGTAAGACGATATCAATTATCTTCACAGCAACCTTGATGAGGCTTATGCCTTGGCAGTTTTCGCATCTCGTCTTATCTTCCTTCTTCGGGATAAATACAACGATGCCCGAGTTCCAGTCATCAGGAGCAACCTTGTCTCTCCGCGCCTGTCCAATCACCTCATGAAGCCAGGGCGCCAGTGCCGACAAGAACTTGTAGATTTCGGTGGGTATACCGTCCTCTCCGGGTGCCCTGTTGTTGCCCAGCCTTTTTATGGTATCGGCGACTTCTCCTTCAGGAGGTGGGTTACATGACACTGCATAGTTAGGAGAGGGGAGAAACGCCGCTGCAGAGGAGAGGAAGGGCATGGTGGGTTGGGCACCGAATTTGAGATAGTGCTCGACATGCTCACGCCAACGCTCGACTTTGGCCAAGTTGTTTGCGATAAAGCCACTGTTCACGCCGCAAACAGTCACTCAGTGCAGAGGGCCTACTACTAACTTGGCGGACAAGTTGGTAGAGTTTTCGAGTGTCACCAACTTTCGAGGCCTGCTCCATGGAGGTCGCTACTTCAGCCCAGTATTTTTCCGGTCGTCTGTGGCCGACTTTACCGTCATCTTCCAGAATTGGCGGAAGGGATCATTATTACGGGCTTTGGCTCGAGCTGTCTGAGCAGACAACTGCAGGCTTCTTCCACTGATCCAGTCACTGCGGCGTGGCTGCGCATATCCAAGGATTTTCTCAGCTGCCCAATAAACTGACGTTTTCAGTGACAAACACTGGTTACTGTCTTCCGCACTGACTCGAGTAGTAAAACAGGACCGGATTTATCTTCCCACGGCCTTGGCAGTACTGGGCTCCCAGATTTTTGCGACATCAAGACGTCTAGGATGCGACATTTTGGGCGCGGATGAGAGTTGAACTTTCAAAAGTTTACGAACAAGGATATGGTCCGACCCGTAGGCGTTACCAGTCTCCGCACCACGCATCGATCCGCCATCGTGAACCTAGCTGTCTAGAATGTAGTTAATCTGACTGGCTGTATGACCGTCGTTTGAATACCAGGTCAGCAGATGTTTGTTGCGTTGTTGGAAGCACGTGTTGGTGAAAAGCAGTCGGTTCTGAGCAGCAAAGTCTAGCAGCTTATTTCCATTATCACATCGAGAACCAAGTCCAAAGCGGCCAATAAGATGACCGTTAGTAGAGTCGCCAGATACAGTCCGACCATTCCAGTTCCCGGCAACAGTCAACAGATCGCGGTGAAGGAGTCTTTTAACCAACGCTTGCAACTGCGGATAAAAAGCCTCTTTATTGCGCTTTTCGGCAGCTGAAGTTGGTGCGCACACATAGATGATAGAGATGTTCGTGAAGTGACGCTTCAGGCACACGTAGGCCGTCCGGTCATTGACTGATCCCCAAGTAAGTAAAGCGAGGTTTGCTTGTTGCGAGAGGACGATCGGCACACCGTGTCTACCAGGAGATTCGCGTGGGCCGCTGTAGTACAGGATAAAGTGTGAGTCAACTCCAGGGATGTTTAGTTTCCGAGATCCTGAGTCAAGATTTCATACAGGCAGCAGACATCCATGTTGTAGTGATAAGGGCTGTGCTCGGCCAGACGTTAAATACCTGGTTCCAGGAACGTTCGCACATTCCAGCATTTCGATTGAGTAGTCCAGCTCGCATACTATTCGCCCGCACCAATAGACTAGGGTTGCGGAGCGCGTCGATTCCCGCGGACTCTGTGGCATGGGTCGTAATACTGCAGCCGGACATGTTTCATGAGGTTTTTTGGAAATTTTCAGTACACGCGGGTCCCCAACATTCGTTCGGATTGCTTCTTCGAAGTTGTTTCCTCTCGTGCGTTGACTCACGAGTCCAACCGCAAGGTAAGGAAGACAAACAAATTTATTTCATGGCGGCCCACGGTCGCCATGTCAAAGTCCTGTTATCGGGCTTTGTGGTCTATTTTACAAGGCTTTCAGCGTGCCAGATCTTAGCCCTGCGGACCTTGGTAGCACTGTCGCTGCTGGTCTGCGATTATTTATCCGTCAAACCTGGATCTGCTTATTTCACATCCAACCTTCACTGAAAGCCGTTCCACTTGCCGCCACCTGCGGACGCAGTGATGCAAGATTGGTGTACTCACAGGCTAGACACTTGGTAGCAAATACTGACGAAGGAGTTTTGCTGGTTAGCCGATCTAAAGTCAGCAGCAGTCGTCGAGGCAGGCAAACTCTTGTTGCTGACGAAAGGGACGGTGGTTCACGACGTGTCGACGAACAAAAATTTGGTTAATGTAGACTCTGGTGGGCGGCGCATCGGTCGGATTTTGGCGTGTCGCCGTCTCGAATAACTTGTAAACTGCACAAAGAAATGACAGCGGACATCTTTAGGTCTGGATCCGTCGGACTTATGCCAATGTACTTTTCACTTATAATTCTAAAGCGCATCATGCGCAGAGGTGGAATGGACGTCATGTTCTCGTCGCGTTACATTTATCCAGTTCAGACTCAGTTAATAAGCATGGAAGCAGAGGACAGCCGCTGTCTCTAAGTCCTTAAGAAGTTGCCCAAATAGACCCTCTTGGGCAAGAACACTGCGGGCTCCATAGGACTTCGTTGTTAGAACCACTAGAACTCTATGTGGTTAAGTCGTGTTACGGTTCATACCTTCAGGACACGCTCTGCACACTGACCACCATCCATTACACGCGGCATCCCACACTGCCGCGTCCGCTTAGCCAATATTAACACCGATAAGTTGACGAAAGCTCATGTAGCATAGGTCCACTTCTGTAACCTCCAACAGTTCTCAAGTTGCCCCTGGATGGTGAGGACTATTAGGCACGCTCGTCTGCTAATTACTATTGTATGGATCGGGTAGTTTGTGTTTGGGGCTGAGGCCATGTAAAGACTGGTTTGGTTGAAAATTATAAAAGAAACCTACTATATTGGGCTGTCATGGTGGCGCCACCGCTTCTTCGGGTTGCTTTTTGCGTCAAGTGTCTACGGCATGCTCAAAGTGTTTACTTGTAATTATGTCGGCCAGCACCGATACGGGTTTGTCCAGAACAATAATTTACGGCATTACTGACAAGTTCAATCCATGTTCTGCAATCGTCAGCTAATCTCAGTACTCGTTGTCCCATTGGTAATTTATTTCTGAATGCCAACCACTTTCGTGTCTAACACCTCCGGGCTCGACTTAGTCCTATTTTTCAGTTGGTCACCGCGGCAGCGGCTCAAAAGCAACCGTTTTTGCAGAAAGACAACGTCACTTACGAGCCTCCCCTCAAGTCGACAGAGTACGTGATAAAACCTTATACGTCGATATTTCATTACATCATCGGCGCGAAGTATCCTTCATTGGTCCCGAAGTCGAAGCCACAGCACTACATTCCAAAACATTGGCTGTCAGACACCTCTGCCTTCCACGAGTCAGCAGCGCATTTTCGCTTGGTTACGGAGACCGTGATTAGGACGGCTTTGATGCATTGGCAGTTTCGTATTCTGGACTTAATAGTGGATCAACACGCACTTCGAGAGTCGGTCGGGCACGTTGCGTGTGAGTTGTATTCTGTGGTTAATCTGCTCCGGACGTTGGTCTGTCAGTAACACAGAAATCGAGACGAACAAAACAATCAACCGCCTTGAACCTGTAGCCTATCCATTGAGGGAGATAACTGTATGCCCCTAAAATCGCTAAATTGCACTTTTGTTATTTCAACACTTCATTCCAAGCCAAATTTACCTAAAATCTGGGACAAAAAAGACCCTATCCCAGTTTGGAACCTCTGTAATTTCCGATTGTAGTGGAGAGAGCTAAGTTTATTAGAGAAGACTAATAAGGCTATACAGGCTGCTAAATATCGCAGGGAAACTTACTAAAAGTCGTTCAGCTCGAAAAGGTTTAAATAAAATCACTCACTGGGACGTCAATCGTCGCCGCCGCCATGAATAAAAGCACAAGTTTTCAGTGCACGCACCCAAAAGTCAAGTTGGTGGGGTTGTCAAAGGCGATTGCTCGTTAGTCAGTAGAACATGAACGACCGAATTCCGCTGCCGGAAACCCCGTGAAACATCAAGATAGCGTCCAGGCTGAGCTTACTGTTATCTTGAAGTTCGCTTGCGTTTCCTTCAATTCTTTTGTCTGTCTTTCTCACCTCATACTTTCAATTTCTTAACGTCACTTTTACTGTACATCCTGTTTATACTCATGCGTCGCTTGTCGGCAGAATGTGCCTCCACTTTTCCAAACCACCAATTCGACTTCATGTCATTCATTCATTTTGGAAGAAAATATTTAAATTTTCTCCAACGTTTTGATTTTGTCGTTTATTGTTTCAGTTGACCAGGCCGTTGTTTGCCGACGACCGAAAACCATAGCTTTTATTCGCATCCCTTAGTGTTTTAATGTCCACACCCTTTGCAAGTTTTGCTTAGTTATATGGTAATTAGACCCCTCTCGACGTTTCGTTCGGGTAACACAGTAGTACTGTAGGCGTTCCTGTCATTTTTTAGATATATGGTTTTCGTCTAGTCCGGCATCTTTTGAAATCCCTATTTTGCGATGTGGGCGGCGATTGCAATAGTTTATCATGCACATTTGCGCCCGATGTTTATCGAATGTTTTCCGGCGTTTTAGCCCCAGATAATGCTGCAGGAGATGCCGTTCTCTCTGACCCGTACGTCTTCTCGATTTCGTTTACATCTGTCGTTATTGCTCTGTTTTATTTCAGTATTTTTCATTGAAAAAGCATATACGTCTACATCTGTTTTTCAGTTGCCTGAACTTCACAATATGATGGGATGCATATATAACGTAATACATTTTCTCTGTCCGCGCCGTGGCTTCGTACTGCACTAGAGAACCGAACAGGCAACACATTTTGTTGGGATGCGCCTCTCATTAGTTAATTTCGGCTAAAATTATCTGTCTCCCATAACTGTGTCATCTACGCCGGCCGATTGAAGGATTTTTTGACAAAGCCTGGAGTTTCACGTTGACGGCCACTATTAGTTGCATTAAAGACCACATTTTAGAAACCGTGGCTGTTCTTTAGACATGTTATCTGTCCTGTGAAAAAGTACTGAAAAATGCTATTTATGCCGACATAATATCCTCTAGCAGTTGAATTCTACTCAGAACATGACCTTTAGTCGAAAATCCAAAAGGTTTCATATCTTGACTGTCAACAAATTATCTTTGTTAATTGCATCGTCCAGTATCCTGTGCCCTCTGATGGCCACGGATATCATCTCCGATCAAACTAATCGTTATTGTGCTAGCATTAGTTGTTCCATGATGTATGAAAATGCTGATTTTCCAAGAAAGCGAACATCTTCATAGTAGCCCACATTAAATTTTCCATGACCTACCATATTTTTCCCGATCTTTCGAAACCTCATCTGTTACGGGTAAATGTAGACGTGCAGCCCTTTTTAGACTCAAACAAATCCCTCGGGAGCGGCCTTCACCCGCGCCGTTGGTGTTTCCGCAGCGTTTGATAAGCAGATGGCAAGGATATGCCAACGCCTTAGGGCACGGGACGCGCACCCATAACGCGCTACACTTCGGGAGTGTAATGGAAGGCCTGGACGCAGGCTCGCGTCTCGTCGCAATTCCTGCATCAGATGGCTGACCGGTTCAGACAATAACCTGGTTCCTGTGAGGGGGAAGAGAGAACGAGGCCAACTTTGGAGATTGCTTCCTCGCAGCGCTCAAGGCATACTCCCCATTATAACTAATCTGAAGCGCTAAAAGTTGTGGCTTGGAAGACCACCAATAGACAGGATAGCTCGGTCTTCCTCTCAGGACGGAGAGCTTTGCCCCTTCTGACTGTGGCCTTTATGCCACTGTCACTCATTTGGGATCCGAGCCGCCCTCCCTTGTTTTCATGAAAACTTTCCCTGTCGTGCGCTAACCAGGCGTGTGTGGCACACGCAGACTGGCTGTCCAGCCTTTTCGGCCCTTGTGCCCTATGCCGCTTCCAGTGTTCTTGACTCCACCTTTACACCGGACCCAGATGGGTGAGGGAAGAGGGTGCACTGGATGCGTCGAAAGTCACCATCCCTATGCATGCCATGCTGTTGGGCACACGATGGACATCTTGGTTCTCGACGGTCGAACTGTCGTGTGTGCGTGCGTGCGTGCCGCAAAGGAGAACGGACACCATCAGCCAGCCCTACCCAACCCTAGGTTTACAGGACCTGAGATTCAGACCCCGACTCTGTGATCATCGAGCGTTAAGTCCAACATCGGGCAATTGCACCATGGGAAAACGTCCACGAACTAGGTTAAGAGATATGCTTTCCCCGTTGCATTTTAGGGTCTAATCTGAAGCCTTCGCAGGCAGTCAAATATCGACCAGTTATATATACCGGAAGGAATGTCAACTGGGGTGACCTTAATATACATAAGAACAGACACTCGTTCTCCATGTCTACCAATTTGTTTATGCGACAACATGTCCATCTGGTATACGGAAAATCGTACTATGGAGGAAAGTAAAGGGACGACTTATTGTTCATTCTTTTGTTTTGTTACCCTGTCCTTTTGGCTAAAAACTTATAGAGTATCCATTGGAAGTAATTATTGAAAGGTAGACTAGGAGGTTTCCCTTTAGATATGCACTTGTCTCCAGTTTTGCATATTATATAGAAATAGGCGACTCTCTTGTTCAACTTCCGCGTTCTAGTTCTATCTGTGGGACCACATGTCTTTAGTCACTTCATAATGCGTCTGAAGTCATCTATCATCCATTACAGTGCTGTGTGCCACGGCTTTTACAGTTGTTGCCTTTTAAAATTTAGCCTTCCAGAAGAACCACCTCCCGAAGAAGTAAGTCCCTGTGCAATTCCAGTTACTCACTGCATAATTGTGAAACTGTCTTATGTTGGTTCCTACTGCCTCTTCTGGTCAACTTCACCGTTACTCCTTTCCTGCCCTCTTCTTCCCATACGCCCACTCCACTTCGATCGTCCTGATGTCTACCCACTTTTCTAGGAGGACGGTCCCACAGAGATTGACGGAGAGGTCTTGTCTGCCCCGAAGAGTCATCGGCGATTGAGTAATAGCTCAGCTGCCACGTTCGTCCTTACTCCCGGTACCCGCTCCCCCGTACCCCCGGAGCCGGAGTCCGAACTCACGATGGAAGAAGAGCTGTCTAGCCTGCGTGCTGAGAAAGAGAGGCTACTCAGTCTCGTTACGGACATGCAGTACTTTCCTCTCATTTTGCTGTCCATTTGGAATTTCAATACTGAAAATTTAGTTTTTATCGTCGAGTATACCATCGAACAGTCATGTTTATAGGACCCTTTACTCAGTACTATACTAGGTTTCACAGATCCCACCGACACTGAACAGTGGAACAAACTGAATCCCTCTTACTATGGTAGTGCACTGTTACTTCTCTGAGGGCTGCCAATTATTTCCAATTCTCCCGTCTTTAACCATTGGACTTTTTTGAAGCAAAAGTATGTTTGACAGTACAGCGCTCCTTTTAACCACCTGTAATGCTAAAATTTTGAGTCTATTTGACTGATGCCGCTCACTCAATCGGGCGTACAGCGGACGTAAATTGATTTATTACTATGTAATTATTCAGCTCTTCGGTCAGGCTTCATCCCCACCTAGTTGTATTTGCACTCTCCGTCTAGGCGTTGTATTGCTGAGTACGAGCGCAGTCTGCAGGAGTTAGCCAGAGAAAAGACACGAGCTGAAGAGGAGGCCAAAGAATCGGTCATCAATATCATCTCCGAACGAGATCAGGCAATCGAAGAGATATCCACTATAGAAAAGGCATTTGGTGACCTTCACCGGCGCTTCGAGAAATCCAAACAAATTATCGAGGGTTTTAAAAAGGTAGATCCTTCTGTCTTGCCAGGTCTTCGTCTTCTGACTCTTATTTGAGTCCACCACAGGCCTCATTTTGGGGCTTCAATTTGGGCGGTTTGTGTCTATCCACCACACCCTACCTCTTTTACCTTTCCCATCACTTTCCTGGAAGTCTACTCATGGTTCCCTCTATACTCGTGACGAGTGACAGTTCGACCATCGTTTTCGATTATGTCCACCGTGTGTCCTACAGTTGCAGCAGCAATGGGAGCAGGGACGGTGACTCACGCAGGGGTTTATAGTGCCGGTAGTGTCGTGACGAGTAGAGTAGTGACCTCGGGTATGCGACTTCAAAACAAAGCTTTGATTTATTATTTTAACCCTAAACCCTGTTAATATTGCCCTTCCTGATTAAACCAATTGTTTTTGGCCTGTTTGCCTAAAATTAACCTGTCTATCGCACCACTGTCTCAAAAACGCGAGTTGGTCCTTCACGAAGGTCCTCCTTGCAGGGCATGGCTACAGGTAAACTGGTTAACCTAGGTATGCCGCACCTCAGGGCTTTATTCGTGTCCAGCACACCTTTTGTCTAATTTCGCATATTTTTTAAGGGTGTGTGGATGTCGGCATCCCCTCCGTTTCTTGATTTGCGTCACAAATATTCGAAGTGTTCCCGAGCAGGTAGTCCTTACAGAAGTTGCTTGCTAACACCACAACTACGACATTTCGATCTTTACGAATGACTACGTTCTTAGCGTACCCCACGGAGTGGTGGGCGCCGGATGGTGACTGGTGCCTGAACTAATTTATAGTGACTCATACTTGCACAACATCTACCGCACTTCCTCTTCTCTCGCTCACCTGTCTCCTCAGGGCAATGTCAAGACGACCGCAGGCGTGCTCGGACGCAGTGCCTCACATTACTAAACAGCCCGTATGCGCTTGCCACACACTCCACCTGATCCCCACAAAATGTACCAGCTTTTCATGAGGACGACTCGGATCACATGCTCGAGAGTATCATGAAAACCCCATCAATAGGGAGCCATTGAGCCTGACTCTCAGTCCGCAGAAGGACCAAGTTGTCTCGTTAATTGGCAACTTTCCAAACCACGACTTTTAGCGCGTCGTGATACATTCAAGCTTGTCAGCTTTATTCTTATAAGGACTGCTCTTGTGTTTGGTGCGTATGGTTTCCTCTGTGTCGATATCACTCTTTCCCCCTTCCGTGTAGGAGTCCGCTGTCCGACCCTGTCAGCCCACTCGACCTTGAATTGGACGCTTTCATTGGCGCGGCGTGAAGCCTATTACGCGTGCCGCAAACCCCCCTCCCCCCCCCCCAATGTGGGGGCTTAATTATAGAGTGCGCTGACCACGCGACCCGATTACCACGTGCCGTGAGCCAACCCGGCCCTATGTTAGTCCAGCGCATCTTGAGTCCAACCCGTTATTGAGCCCACTACCGCCACCATTACTATGTGCGACGTGCCTACCAGTTTGTTATATAGGAATCCAACTGCCACTTTATTGTAGGATGTAGGAGGACATGTAGCATGAATGGTTTGTGAAGGCGACGATACCTAATTCGGCCATTACTTTGAACACAACCCCATGATTCATTTTAACAGTGAAGTTTTCCGTTAAAGTGGTCATTATCAGATTGGATGGAAGGGCAAATATTTAGAATGACCTGGTCCTCTAATAGTTCAGTCTAGGTCCCGGAAGACGGTCTATAGACAGTCCACTTCAATTCTTTCCAACAAGGTTGTCTGAATTATTTTTCACTCTTTTAGAAGTAAGACCCCATCCGTCTATTTGGCTCTCTTGAATTGTTTTGCTGCATCTTACGTCCTTTTCACACATGTCATGCCTGGACTTGCACGTCGAGACCTCCCTTTTCTTCAAGTCGTCCACAGTCTGAGTCCCTGGCACCTCTGTGCATTTTTAGAATGAGGAAGTCCTGAAAAAGAGTGCCGAGGACTATCAGACCCAACTACGGAGGCAAGAACAAAAGTATCAGGCACTGAAGGCTCACGCGGAACAAAAGTTGATGAAGTAAGTTCTGTCTCCTATTTACTAAATCTACTTACTGCCAGTCCTTCCCTCACAATTGTCCATTCTCCAGTTCCGCCTCCTGATTTATGAATTGCATGCAATTGTTGACTCTCTCTCTCACACCTTGCATGCTTGCTTTTGTGTGATGCTCCTCTTCCAGTCAATGCTGACTAGAAGTAAGTCCTGCGTCCTTATTCGATGACGGTCGGCATCACCCTGTTCTCATTGTTATTGGCGGGCTGGACTTATAACGCGAACTGTGCACCAACTCACCAGTCTGAAGATGCATAGCCATACACCCTATTGAAAATCTCGGGTTGTAACTGTCGCATCCATAGCCGGTCTGGTCGCCTTTGCGAGATTTCACTTAATATGAGTTAACCGAATGCATTGTCCTTGGAATATGATATGACCTTTTGTCTTAGTTTACCTCTGGGTTTGTGCCCTACACACGCGGTAGTCGTGGGGTCGAATTTGCTAGCGGTTACTCCTCATATGATTGTACCATGTTCTTCTATCCTGTCCGTATGGCGCCCAGCTGGTATGTGAGGCACCGCGCACCTTTTTCGAACTCGACGACGGCTATACACCCGAATAGTATTTCGTCACACGGTTGTATCGGCCTGATCTTAAATATGTATGTTCGCCAAGTTATTTATTTAATTTGGTGTTGACCCAGGCTCAGTGTAGGGCTGCGTGCCACTCTTCTGGGCTTTAAGGTTTGTGTGTGCCTGCTATGCCATGATTCAGCAAACCGTAGTTCTCGCAACCCGATATGTGCTGGCATTTCTCTGGCACCTGGTTTCCTGCTGGTAGATGCGCCTGAGCTCCCGCAGGTCGTGTGCATCGTTGCCCAGTCATCCTCCGCTTTCTGACCCGTTGTGCTGTTGGTTAAAAATCCTGGTCAAGTGTTTGCTGTGGACCTGGCGGTGTAGTTGGACGCCTATGCGCGGGTTCGGTCGTGCTAGCCACCTGCGCCCTCTCCGGGCTTCTCAACTATGTCTTGACATCGGGCCCAGGTGTAGAGGAGTAGAGTGTGCGGTAGGTGCCGCGAAAGTCTACTCTCACTTAAAAATAATTCACTCGCCAGTCACCGTGCCTCCTTCATTTTGCTGTGACGCACGCGGTGGACATCGTCAGTGGCGATGGTCGAACTGTCTGTCTAGTTCATTGTCGGACACTTTCGTAGGACTCCATTTAGTTATTTAAGGTGTCGGGCACCTGATGTGCCTCTCGACTCCCGGTGAATTTTGGCGAACCATGTTTTTAGTCCTTGGCGGTCGAATCCTCGGGTCCTCAGTTGGTTCCTTTCGTAGCTCAATGGCTTCACCATTGTCCCGCCTCATTTTCAGAGGACGCTGCACCATCCATTCCCCTGAATTCTTCTAACATCACCGTCCCACTGTTGACTGTCACTTTTGAGTCACGCTTTCCACTCATTAATTTAGGCCTACATCTGACTGCTCCTCCCGACTTGAGTTTGCTGGTGATCGGTGTGTGCAGGCCAGTTTGCGCCATCTCTCTAGGTGGCCAACGAAGAACGTGTCCGATCCGACAGGGTGTCTGTCCTTCGCAGGTGGTCGTGGGTCACTGTTTATTCACAGGAGTCTGACAGTGTGTTAGAAGTGTCTACAGTGAAACTCATGTCCACGTGTTTAAGAGCTTCCAGCCGGAAGAGCCAATCTTTACAATCGGTGCACTCACTCAGACAGCCCAACGCGAGTCAGTCATCCAACCTGATCATGTGTACTTCCACTCTACCCAGGTAACATTCTGTGGGCAGCTGATGGACTTTCGTGATGTTGAGCCATTGTTTTGACGAATCGACTGTTTCATGCTGCGTCATACCGTTGAACTATTACGCGTCCGAGTCCTTATTCGGGTCCTACGTCAACGCGAAAAATATAGGAAATTGGAGCTAGGCGAAACGCCATTAAATTTTGGGGTCGCATCTGACGAGTCAAACACCTGCCCAAAACGGCTTAATTTGTTACGGCACTATAACAGTTGCCCGTTTCTGTGGTTCCTGTATATGTGAATTGAAATGCCATCACACCGAACACTTCTGTTTAGTCTTGCCCTCCTGTGGTGTCAGTTGCACTGCCATCATCCCCGCACCGCCACCTTATCTATGTCTTGGTACTTTGCAGTCCATTGTGACCTCCATTCTCCTATCCCACTCACACCCCGGCAAATCGATCTATTGATTCCTTAAAGCATACACTAATGTGGCGTCTCCCGCGCCTCTGTCGACGATAGACTTGTCCATGTAATCTATTTATCTATCTTTTTCCCATGCGCTTCGTTTCATCTGACAGAATTTACAGGCAGGAAATTGACCAACCCACAAATGATCTGTCTGTGCCAGTTTACATCAAATGTTCCTTTACCCTGAGTTGGTTTTCTTTAGCTTTCTTGTTTTGTACAATGGTCCCACAAATGCCTTCTGCCTTCCAGAGTGGCTGAAGAAACAGAGCAGGTCAAGCGCAACACCGAGGGCGAAGTCACTCTTCTCCGGGCAGCTATCAAGCGTTCAGAGTTGCAAATCAAGAGCCTAGAATCACAGTTGGAGCAGAAGGTAATCATCGGTGCAGTCCATTTTTCCATGTCCTTGCCCAAAACCCAGGCCTAATCACTGTCCTGTATTCTAGGCGTGCACATGCTCCTTTTCATGCCTCACACCCGCCAGATACCCTACAAGGCGAGCCCGCCTCTCAGTGTTTGCTTTGTGAGCGCTCCTCTGAGTTGTCTGTGTCCTGGCACAACCTGCCCGCGAAACAACCCGCATTGCCGTGCACGCCACTTAAGGTTGTGAGCCTGCATAAGGGAATCATGCATGCCTTTGTGTCTGCAAAATCCAGAGCTAACCTTTTATAGGGGGGTTTGAATGCAACAGGAGGTATTTGTAACCTCCCAAATGTTTCTTCCGTGGTCGCACTTTATTAGGCTCCGTCAGACATTAGAGACAAAGTACATTAGCTTACAGTAGGTGGGCTAAATCATGAAATGTCAACCGAAATTCCGAAATGCGTTTTCGTTTCGAGAAGATTAATTAATTAGGGTTGCAAAACTAATCATCATGCAGCATAATTCTATAATAATTTAGTTACCTAGGGATGCCGGCTTTCGAACGAACGACTTTTCGGTTGCATGCAAAAACTATACTCTGTAAAAATGACTACTTAATTAGCATGCACTTTTCTCATTGATTTCTGATGCCATTAAAAATTCAATTATATTTAATGGAAAGCATGCATAAGAATATTCGTTCTTTTGCTCATTCGGTAGAAAATTACGTCTTCTTCCAATTTTATACCCGAAGCTAGGGCATCATTCGGTTTTCAAAAACTTTCCTAATTCCCGAATAATTTTGAGCCCGATCTGTCGTTACACTTTCATTCAGGGTTTCCAAACTACAAGCCGTATATTTTTCGCATATGGAAAATCACACATTTCCCTACGGTATTAAGAGAAGACCATATGGGGTTCATAAAATTTGGCAGTGCATTTGAGCCATATTGTTGACTTTACAAACTACATTGGTAAATGCAGAGACGTGAAGTTTTATGAACTGTCATTTCACGGTATTTAAAAATCTCACAATTGGAAACTCTTTTAAAACCGAATTATATCCTTCTTGCATGTATAAAATTGGAAGAAGACGCAATTTCCTGCCGAATGAGCAAAAGAATGAATATTTCATGCATGTTTGCCATGAAATATGATTGAATTTTTAAGGGCATCGAAATCCAATAAGGATGATGATTAGTTTTGCAACCCTTCTTAATTAATCTTTTCGAAACGAAAACGCATTTCGGAATTTCGGCTGGCATTTCATGAGTTAGCCCACCTGCCGTGCATGCTCACTAAGCTGACAAACTATATCCACCGACGCCATTACTTTACTCTTGAACTCGAAATAAATTGAATACCCGAAGTGCTTCTGAAAGTGAACCGCATTGATGCAGTAGCCATCCCCCAACACACGCCAATTGGCTCTTTCCGAACAGCCTGTCTCTAAGGCAAATAAGCAGTTTATTGCGCCAGATTTGCATACATTTGGGTTATTTTCACTTATTTCAACTTCAGACTCGCGAGAACATGGAGTTGACCAAGATCTGTGATGAACTCATCAGCAAATACAGCGACAAGGCCTGAATCTGTGCACGTCCCGCACCTGTTTGTCTCGCACTTGGACCTCCCGTCTCCCATCATCCTGCCCTCTCGCCATCGTTTTTAGGCAAAACGTGAAGCTGAGGCCCTTTGGCTGCCGATATATTCCCGTGCGAAGTCTATTTTTCTACGAAACGGGAATGCTACAACCGCGCGGCTACTGTCTTTTTTGTTGTACCCTCATTGACCTGAGCCAGCTCATCCTCCCTGCGCACCGACCCCGCCAATTTCATGGCGAATTCGGTCCTTCCACCCTCTGCTCACCTCGCTTAGTGGTATATTTTGTTCCCGAGCGCAACCACTTGTAGGGCGGTGTGAGGCACCAAGGTTCGCTGCGGCGCATTGTATGTGCATTTCGGGGTTACTTCTTTCATCCTCACCGTATCCCCTGGGTAACTCTCCCCCCAATTTCACTTATGTTTGATGCAACAAACAAATGTTCTACTCTTTCTTTCCAGATTTCTACATCAGCTGTCTCTTCTTACGAGAACCCTAGTACCTATTCGGGCTTTTTGGTGGGATGTTTTGGAGCGATAACGCTGTCATGAGTATGCGCCATTGAGGGTCCTTCACGTCCTTAGGAATACGATATGGCCAGCCAATCTACTCTCTTGTGTAGTAGTCAGTGTGAACCCCGACCTTTGGGATCCTTCCAGCACTTCTTCGGCAATTCCCTTGTATTCCAGACAATAGCATGGTAGTGTGTCCGAGACTCGACTAATGGGAACTCCGTGTCTCCATGGCAGACTATCAGCCAACCGCATTTACTGCAAGGACTTAATCCACAACGGGCCTTTTCGAAATTATTAGACCTCAGGAAAGTAAACCGCATGCTCTCTTCTACTCCAAGGTGGCTGATCGGACTTGGTCAGCCACCCATATGAAGATACTTAGCCTATTTCGTAAACACTTGCCCTCTCCATTAGACATGTGGAAAAGTTCCCGGTAGTAACGGTGAGGAGACGTGTTTAACATCTAGGAAGGGTGCTTTGCTGATCTAAAATTTCAAATCCATATTCTAGTTTAACATCAGAGCTAGTTAGCCAGGACTCCAAATGTACCACTGGTAAGCAAGAGAATCTGCTCCAACTCCATGACTTGGCGAGTGCCGGGTTCCCGTTTCACCTGTAAACCAGTTTCACAAATGAACAAGATTAAACGGTCGAGTATTCCCGACTACAACGCAACGGGAGTTATATTTCGGATGGTAAGGAGTCTGACATTGTACGGCTACGAAGTCATCTCTGACTGTGTGGGCCAGGTTGTGTTTTCTATCCGGTCTTCGCAGTGGGTAGTCACACTTGCGCTCATGAAGCCGCTTGATTTTGGCACCCATAGAGGATGACCTAAACTTGATTTCTTTCCCTAATACTTAATTAAACGGTGGAATTTAAGCATGGCGGAGACAGTGCGGATGGTTTTCAATGGCCAGTCCGATGAGTTCAAACAATGGATTGCGATCCTTCCAGTCTGCGTGGTTATTCTCTGATACGATTCAGAAACTGCAGCTGGAGATAATTAAGTCCAGCATCCATCTCAAGATACCCCTGGAATCCATTTCTTCAGCTGTACGACATCCATTTAGCTGGTGCATGACCACCATTTTATCCGCGTTGACGGTCAACCCGAAGTGTGTAAAGCCGGTGGCGAATATATTTGTTCTCCGCTACTGTCGCGGTGTTGAGCCTGCAGTCGTTCGCGAAGACCAGGCCGTAGATAGACGCCTTCGGACATGCATGTGTCGGCTATCGAGAAGCTGGCAGTCGGTCCTCTGGACGATGCTGATTCGAGGACGCTCATCACGGCAGGCGTCCATCATTATGGCGTAGAACCTGAGACTGAAGAGGGTGGGTGCGAGTACGCAACACTGATTCACTCCATTGGTCACACAAATGTTTCTGAGACGGCTACGTTGTCCGTGACGCGCGCCACCATCCAGTTGTGGAGCTGACGCACCATGTGCGTGAATCATTCAGGAAGGCCGAATTTCTGCGTGATTTCCTACAGTCCATCGTCACCCAGCGTGTCGAGGGTCTTCGCCAGGCCCAACAAATCAGTGTAGAGAATGGTCTTCGTCTCCTGAGACTTGTACTTGATGGACGTTGAAGACCATGTCGGTGGTTCCGCGGTGACGTCGGAAGCCACACTGGCTTTCCGAGAGAAGTCTGTGTTCCAGATGGCCACTGAGACGATTGAGAAGGATGCGAGCGAAGACCTTCCTGACGATATTGAACAACGGGATTTCTCCATGATTACCACAGAACTGTCGGTTTCCCTTTTCGTTTGTAGAGATGGACGATTTTCACGCCATTGAAATCCCGGGGAACCTGTCCTTGGCGCCACATCTCCTGGGATATCGTGACAGAGTGCCCATCAGACGGGGGCCGCCGTAATTGTAGACTTCAGTTGGGATCGCGTCGAACACCATCGCCCTTCGGTTGGACAGCTAGTGCAGGGATCTGACGGCTTCCGGGAGGGAAGGAAGAAGGTGCAGTTTGTTGTTCCTTTCCGCCGGCGGGAGCCGGTTGATGGTGGCGTAGGAGATCGTGGGTTGGCAGTTGAAGGCATTTCTGAAGTTCTCAATCCAGTGCTTCAGAATCAGCGATTTCGTCGTCTGGAGTGTTGCCCTGTCGGAGCTGAGATGTGACGCGGCTCCTTTGCTTGTGAGGCTGTAGACCATCTTGATTGATTCGAAGAATTTTCTCGTTTAATTGTGGTCCACGTACATTTGGGTCTCCTCGACTCAGCGATCCATACAGGTGGCGACATCCGGAGTAGGCGGCTTTGGTTGCGTCGGTACTCCCTGTTCATGTATGCCTTGTGCACTCTTTTCCTTTCCGTCGGTAGGTTACTGATCTCCGTTTCATCTCCAAACCTGCTCTGGTGTTGACGTGTGCGAACGAGGACGGTTAGGGCGATGGAATCTTATGGTTGACACCACCGCTCTCCACAGCGGACCCATCGTCCGACACTTGTAGGTCTTTCACTCACTTACTCAACTGTTGCTAAAATCGAAGTGGTCAGCAAGCACATTAAACAGAACAATATTTTAAATGTGTGAAAATCCCCATCACTATATTCAGAAGAGAGAGTGGCGAGTGAACGTTCCTTTCGGTAAATTCTCATCAGGCCAATACAATTACATAGGGCGGGGTAGAGTGAGTGATTGCCTTGTGGTCTCCTGTATGGTCGCAGTCGAAGCCTCATCTAGGAAAAGACGAGACGATGATCCGTTCAGTCATTGGCGCCAAAGACCACCTTGGTCACCAACGCGTCCTGTCGATCTCGCCTCCAGACAAGAACGTAGTCCAGCAGCTGTCAGCGCCGCGATCTGCGTGCATCCAGGTTGTCTATTCCCGCGTTGGAATGTTGATGAAAGTGTTTGTCAGCAGGAGACGATGCTCTGTAAGTTTTACAGGAGGAGGAGAAGGGGAAGGAGGAGACTGCTGTCGTTGCAGCCGCCTACTCTCTCGGGAACCAGCACTCTCTCTCAGGCAGCGTGGTCTGCCCCGACGCGGACAATTAGCTTGTTCGCCTTTGGCATCTCTAACGGCCTCAGGGAGACGATCCCACCCGACAGTAGGGACCACTGCTGTTGGAAGCTTTGCCAATCTCCACACTCGCCATTTGTTTCTCTGGGACCGTATCGCTGTCGCCAAATTCCTTGTAGACACTGGTGCCGAGGTTAGCGTGGTTCCACCAACGCCGGTCGAACGCAAACACTGCAGCTCTTTTTGCCAGCAGCTGCCAAAAACTCCAGTGCCCCACCTTTGGAAAGCGCTCCATCACACTTGATTCGGGCCTTCGTCGGATCTTCCGATGGGTTTTCATTATTGCCGACGTTTTCGTCGCCCTCATAGGTGCCGATTTCCTAGCTCACTTCAATTTAATGGTTGGTGTGAGGAATAGCGGGCTCGTCGACTGCATCACCAACCTTCATGTCCGTTGTCCATCCGATTTGAACCCCTGCGTCAACCCCCTCACTCTTATGCCCATATCTGACTGTCCCCTCCACTTACTCCTCGGGCAGTTGCCCCGCCCGACCATCCCCTCATTTCGTGAAGTGGATATCAGACACACAGTCACCCACCACATTTCCACCAGTGGACCTCCCAAATCTTGCCGACCATGTCGGCTTGCTTCGGAACGTTCAAAGATTGTCAAGGCAGAGTTCGAACAAATGCCTGAGCTCGGCATCATCCGACAGTCCGACAGCTGTTTGTCTTCACCTCTCCATCTTATCCCAAAGAAGAGCGGCGACCGTGTGGTGATTATCGGGCGTTGAACTCAGTGACTGTCCGCGACCAGTATCCCGCCCCGAACATCCAAGGCTTCACTCTTTCGCTGTATGGTAAGCGGATATTCTCCAAAATTGAACAATCGAGGCCAGTGGTGTGCCAAAAACTGCAGTGACCACTCCTTTTGGGATGTTCGAATTCACTTGTATGCCCTTTGGAGTGAGGACTGCCACTCAAACTTTTCAGCGATTCATTTATCAGGTTCTGCAAGGTCTCGATTTCGTCTACGCCTACATTGATGATTTGTTGGTGACTATCTCTGACGATGCTGAACACAAGGTTCATCTTCGACAACTCTTCGAGCGACTCGACTCCTTCAGCATTTTAATCAATGCTGTTAAATGCGAGTTTGGAGTACCCAGCCTAATTTTTCTGGGTCACGAAGTGGACTCTGGTGGGATAAAACCCGTGCCTGAAAAGGTTTCAGCCCTATCAACGTTCCCCGTTTCCACAGCTATCACCAACTACGTCGCTTCTTGGGGATGGTGAACTACTATCACCTATTTCTTCTTCATGGTGCCACCATACTGCATCCACTCAACAGCCTGTTCACTCGCTCCAAGAAGACACTGGTGATGACCGAGGAGGCCGTCAGGTCCTTCAGTTACGTCAAGGCCGCACTTGATAGCGCAACACTGCTTGCCCACCCCGCGCTGTTGCCCAACCAATTCTCATTACAGACATTTCCAGCACCGCCCTTGGTGCATCACTCCACCAAACTGTTAGTGAGAAGCTAGAGCCTCAGGCGTTCTTCTCGAAGAAGCTCAGCCCAGCAGGGACACGTTACAGTGTCTTCGGCCAAGAACTCCTCGCCGTCTACTTATCCATCCGGCACTTCCGACATTTCCTCGAGGGTCGCGAATTTGTCGTTCTAACAGATCACAAGCCACTCGTTTTTGCACCAAGGGCCTCGCCCCGTGAAATTCGTCATCTAGCTTTCATCTCACACTTTTTCTGCGACATCCAACATGTCCACGGTAAGGAAAATGTGGTTGCTGATGCTCTTTCAAGAATCGAGATGGCTTTCATCACAACAGACGCCATAGACTTCAGGTTCATGGCTGAGGCTCAACGATTGGATGACGAACTCTCCCAATGCCGCCACCTAGACCCTTCTTTGCGCCTTCAAGATGTCCCCCTTAGCAGTGGCACTGGCACCACAACGTGGGATCTTTCTACCGGACACGAACGTCCTTTTGTCCCAGCAATTTTACGACGACAAGTGTTCAACGCTCTTCACAATCTATTGCACCCTGGAGTCCGGACGACAGTGAAACTGATCACTGATCCATTCGTCTGGCCCAACATCAACCGGAATGTACGGCGTTGAACCTGATCCTGTCTACCATACCAGCGCGCCAAAACGCATCGGCATACTACTACCCCGCCAGGTACTTTCACCACTCCTTGTGGACGTTTCAGTCATGTGCACATTGACCTGGTAAGTCCGTTTCCACCAGTTAACGGTTCTGCCTATATGCTGACATGCATTGACCGCCTTACTCGGTGGCCGGTTGCTGCGCACATTCCGGATATCAGTGCCGAAACCGTAGCAAAAACTTTCCTGACTCATTGGGTGTATAATTTTGGAGTTCCGGCGACTGTCACCACTGACCGCGGATCCCCATTCGAGTCCACGTTGTTCCACAAGCTCACTTTCCTTCTCGGTACCAACCGAATCCGAACAACAACATACCACGCTCAGGCAAATGGTCTTGTGGGACGTTTCCATCGACGGCTCAAAACTGCCCTAATGGCTCAGCCGATCCTTCTCGATGGTCCGGCCATCTTCCTCTGGTGATGTTGTCCCTCCGTTCCACTCCCAAGGCCGACATCGGTTGCACTGCAGCTGATCTTGTCTACGGAGCCTCCTTACGACTGCACGGTGAGTTAGTATCACCTTCAAACACGCTAGCGTCTTTTGAACCTAAGAGTTATGTGGAGCGACTACGTAGTGGCATACGAAATCTCCACGCAACGCCCCCTCGGGCGTCACCACCCAATTCCTTTATCCCTCCCGACCTGGGTACGTGCGATTTCGTCTGGGTTCGGTATGACGCTGTCCGGCGGCCACTCCAACCATCCCATGACGGGCCGTATAGAGTAATCAATCACAAGAGCAAGACCTACGCAGTCAGAATTGGTCGCGTCAAGCCGGCCTACATCGACGACAGTGACCATTCCTCACCCCAACGCTGTACCCCGCCGCAGACAGTGAGGCCTCCTCCACCTACTGACAACAGCCCGCCTCCGGTTCGTCTCACACGATCTGGTCGTCACGTCCACTGGCCCGACAGGTTTGTGGCTGGATAGCATGTCGACGCCTTCACTTCGTTTGATGTCTGAATGGGAGAGTTTTAGCAGCCCTCCAGTCCCACTTTTTCTCCGGTTCCGTTTTGTCGAACAATGGCGTAATAGCTGTTGACATACGACCATCCCCACCGACTAGAACTGGGTCACCTGCCGGTCCAACTTCAATGACTCTCGGCTGACCTCAAAAACTTTCATCACCCCAAGTGCGTCGAATGATCTGGCTTGATATCCGTGAGGCCTTTTGAGTATGCGCCCTCTATTCCTCCCCTAATTTGTCCAATCACACGACCAACACTCAGACAGTCACCCCCTCCTGCCGACCCAGACACTCACTCCCGCGTAAACAACACATCGCGACTGACGCTCTCCGTGAACGGACTCTTATCTCTGTCGCAAGCAAACAGCCAACTTACGGCAACCTGCCCTGTGTGCAGAATAAACCAGTCCTCATAGCTCCCTGACTTCTGACTTTAGAAGAAACAAAATTACTGTGCGTGGTTTAAGCTGATCTCACATTCTTGACCGCCGCAGGTACACGTCAATTATTTTGGGCCATTCCAAGGCCATATGGTCTTGGTGGTGGCTGACGTTCACGCTAAATGGATCGGAGCGATTCAGACAGGAAATTCCTATTCTTCACTGACTACAATCAACAAGTAGCGAACTGTCTTTCTTCTTTTGGGACACCTGAAATGGTCATTTCAGACAATGGCTCGGTCATTTACCAGTGGTGAACTTAAAGAATTCATGGAGAAAAACGGAGTTAGATATTTAACCACTGCCCCGTACCATGCTGCTTCTGATGGCCTCGCAGAGCGTGCAGTTCAGCCAATAAAGCAACGACTAGTCAAACAGACGGAAGCGAACTTGGACACGAATTCGTTCCGCTTCGGCTGCAGAAGTGATGTTCAAGCAGCAGTTACGCGCACGAATCGACCTGCTTAATCATACAGCGCATGATAGAGTCACTGAAAAACAGACGAAGATGAAAGCAATATATGATGTGAGCTTCCGACCAAGAGTCGTCGCGCCTAACGAAAGTGTCCACACGCGACTAGAACACGAAACGGACCGGTGTCCAGCGGTATTTTGAACAAACGAGGCACAAGCAGTAGAATTAAAGTTAGAAGGCGGGGGAATTGTGCACCCACATCTGGACCAAGTTCGCAGCCGAGCGGATGCAGCAAGTGGAGAATTAGTGAAGTTCGAACTGCCAGCAATCCTTGATAGTTATCCTGGCATCCCGAGGACAAAACACCTACTGTCTGCACAGAGGACTACGCCGCCGACCGAGGCGCATGTTTCTCCTCTTCTCCTCCTCCTCCTCCTCCTTTCATCCCGGGCAGCACCATCTTAAGGACAGAGGAACCCACAGCTCCACAAAGCGGCGCAGTGGTCGAAAATACCACCCTGAGAAGATCCATCCGAGTCCGCAACCTGTCCAACGCTTTCAGCCCGAAGTCCGTTTGACCATTGCTTAACTATCGACTATCACCTTTACCGCTTCCTCCCTCCTCCCCATGCTCTCCACTTTAGGGTGAGGGATGCGGCGTTTGCCGCCCGGGCTGTCAGGGCATCATGCTGCATGCGCGTGACAAGCGGACGTTTAAGGTCATGTTCCCCTGTTCTCACCTTCTTTGTGTTAATTGATCACCCATCGGACTACGACATTCCCCCCTGCCATATACCTGGTCGTTTCCATAATCCTCCTCACTTATGCTGTCTCTCGTACTCAGGACACGTCCTATTTCCAACTAACCTGCTATGTATACATAACACCAACCGCCTGTTACTTTCGAAGGTTTTGGAGACGAGCCGGTGAATAATGTTCCTCGTGCAAATAAGCAAACTATTGAGAGCAAATTTGAAATGTACTTAAACGACGTAAATCTAGAGAGCGAATACTCGCTAAAGCTATAATTCACGAGCTTCTGGTGGGATGGGGTCTGGATATTGCTCCGTGGACGCTTAACAATAAGCTATTACTATTTCCCGTTGGACGTAAAAGGTCAACAGACTCGCGATGGATGCGAAAGACTCAAATTGCAAGAATCACAGCATTTTAAGGTAGGAATTACGAAATCCCAAAGATGTGTTATCAATCCGCAATTTATTTCCACACGGCATGTTCTCTCACTACGATAACAGCTAGAGTTACAAAACTCGGAGCTCACCTTATAAACGGACGTACTCGGATGTGTGTGATAACATGTCTTTGTTCATTATAAGTTCGCGAACGGCTAGAGTGGTGAATTAGACCAAAAAAGGTCACCACTATTCAAGAATACGATGTACAAACATACGACGAATTTGCCGGTTTAACTGAAGAAAAGTAAAAAATATGAGAAACGAATCCACACGTTTTTGCAGATTTGGTCGTAATTCTGTCGGTTTGGGGAAAGCGCTGTAGATCATTAGTATCACTCAAACTACTGAACCATTTCTTAATGCGAAGATCAGTAATTGTTTAGGGTAGGAGAGTATAACTTGGCCAAAAAATCGTGAACAGAGAATGAAGGAATTCAATTAACCCCGTGGAACTCTAATCAGGAAGAGCAGTGGAGCCTGTATGAATGTGGCTTGACGACTGTGGGCTGTAACTCTGGAAATAGAAATTTGCAAATTTGATAGCACCAGCATAAGACCCTGCCAGCACCAGCCCCGCCTAGCCCCGCCTGGCCCCCTCAATAACGGCGGGGCTAGAGGGGGCTATGAGGGGGCTAGGCGGGGCTGTGGAGGGAGCTGTGGCGGGGCATGCAACGCGATAGCCCCGCCTAGCCCCGCCAGCAAAAAAAAATGCGCAGGGGACGCCACATCCCAGCCCACTTTTGGCACCACTTTAAAATATCGTCCCCATTGTCAAATATACGAATTAATAACACACACAGATTGTAAACCGGTGGACAAATAAGAGTTTAAGCAATGAGGGACTTAAACAAAACCTCAGTATATTGTGCTCATCCGCAGCTACATTCAGTGGGCGTAAACGGATGCTTTCTCCATGGTTTATAAGCCAATTTTGATAAATTAGCTCCTTTAAATTCCAAAGAAGGTACAATAAGTGGTGCTTTTGGAACATATCTTTCGATGCAAATACGCTTCAAAAGGCTTCAATCCAGAGGGGGCTCTGGCCCCGCCCAGCCGCCTCCAGCTCCGCCTATGAAGGGGCTATGTGC